GTTGGCCAACAGAAAATGAACTAAACGGTATTTTCATAGGTTTTTTGCCTCATAGTGCTTTGTTTGAGCACTTTTTGACCTATTGGACTATATATTGCTATATAGTATAATATACATATATTATGTATAATATATAATACTATATATTGCTAGTATATTTTAGTTTCCATTTGTTAATATTTTTGGTTGTTTCTGTCTTTTTTAAAGAGGAGGAGGAAAGGGGAGGGGGAATGGAGCTAGGTGGGTAGGAGAATCTGGAAGTTGTTTGGGGAAGAAAAATTGACCAGAACATATTGTATGAAAAAAAAAACTTTTTCAATTAAAAAAAAAAGAACTAAATAGAGGGAAAACTAAAGGATGTTTGCCTAAATGGGTGAAGAAAAAGTAAGATCAGAACATAACCTTTCGAGGGAAAATAAACCAACATGCTTAAAAACCCCTTTTCCTGCTGCTGGTGACTCCTCTCCCAACACATGACTTCTCTTCTCCTAGTAACAAAATATGAACAATGTCTGCATGTACTTGTCACTAAGACATTTCATTAAGATGTTCCTCACTGTCTAGAAAGCAGGAAAGTAAAGGTTTGCCTCTCTGCAAACCTGAAAATCTAAATACTAATTATAAGGTTTTAAAACCTGACAACTAGTGTATAATTAAAAGTAGCCCTTGGTAGTCTTGCCAAATGGTAATCCATTCTTGTCAAAAGGCATTATTTACAAAGTATTGCCAGACTTTCAAATCTGCACATAAAAAAGTTGAAAAGAATTAATGGAATTCTTTAAAACAGCAAATTAATTTTAAGAATGACTTTCTGTATTGTCTTTGTTTTTCTAATTTTTATCAAGGGTGACAATCTAAAACACATCTGGAAACCACTGCGAACAAAATAAACTTCAGATCATGACCATAGATTGATGGAGAGTTTGGTGAGAATATTCTTGGTAAAGTCTAATATTCATGATTGATTATCATTGCTTTTGGGACTACTATAAATTAGGGGGAAAAAAACTTAGGAGGGAACACTTCTATTTATACTAAAATAAAAGGTATTAAACTCTAGTACAGCAGTATTTCCCAGAACTTATAATTTTTCTTTCTGCAGTTTTAGTTAGCAAGAGTCTGAAAATACATAACTGAAAATTCCAGATATAAACAACTTCTACATTTTTAAATTGCAAGTCATAGCACCATTGCATAATGAGATCTTAACTCTACAGCCTATCCCAAAGACCACGCTGTCAGTCCACCTAACATATCCGTGCTGTGTACACACGACCTGGGTGCTGGTCATTTTATAGATGTCCTGAACAGCAGATTGCCTGTGCTCATGTTCAAGTCACCTTGTTTTACTGACGCCCAAAGCAGGTGTATGATGTTGATAATTTGGAAATATCAAAGAGACACTAAGTAGAAGACAAAGTTTCCAATTTAATAAAAAATAAATAAATCACAGGATTAAATTGATGAGCTGCAGTGAGATGCACGTGTTTCTGTGGAAGTGTGAAGGAAAACAAATGTTAGTTTTGTTGTCAAACCTCAAACAGTAAGCTACAGCCAGTACGTGTGGTAGGGGCTCTACACAGGAAGAGCCAGGTGTGGTGGTGCACATAGGACCCAGAACATTCCAGGGAAAAGGAGGAAGAGTGAAGTTTGAAATCAGACTAGGTAACACAGTAAATTCAAATTCAGCTTTGGCTACAGAGAGAAACATTGTCACTAGGGGGAAAAATTAAACAGAATGGGGTGGAAATAAAGAAGAGGAGGGAAATTCACCATGTACTGAGGCCAATTTATATTGTAACAGGTATGCATATATAGGAAAATAATGGTGTATTATCCAGCAATGAAGAGATGGTTATCATGAACCCTATCCCTATAGAAAATAGATATTTTGTATCTATTTCATCTACAAGTAAAAAAAAATTAAGACAGACATTATGAATATAAAACTTCAGGATTGTTTTTCATTGCCTGTAATATAATCAAAGTATACAATAGTTGAAAAATGAGCTCTTACTGTATATGGTTACAAAACCAGTTAGCCAACGTCAAGACTGAACAGTTTTATGGCAAACCCTGTGATCATTCCAATAGGTGAATCATTTCTCTAAATGTGACAGCCCATTTTTTTATTTGCCTATAAACACTTTATTTAACCTCCCAGCTTCTTTTTACAAATCGGTCCTCCATGAATGTAAGAAGACACAGGGACAAGAATGGGACATTTTAAAGCTTCAGTCACCACCACTCTGGTGTAATCAGCTTTGGTTCGATGTGCAGCTGAAGTGAACACAGAGTGAAGAAGTTACCCCAGTGCCACTCAACTGCGCCCGTTTTCTCTCCTTATTTGTCTAGGAGACTGACTCAACACGTCCAGACCTAATAATCTTTAAGATGGCCGACCAATAAAATACACAGCTGATTAGATAGATAATTTTAAAATAGACTGTTTCTACTAGTCCTAAAAAAATAAAGTTTGTATTTTGTTCTGTTAATAAGTGAGTCTATAGCATAAAGATTAATTGCTAATTTAATTTTGTGAATATAAACACATTTTAAAGAAGATGTAATCTGAACTGTAGTGAAATTACTTTTCACTATTTTGTAAAGTCAGAGATGCCACTGAAGCTTATGAAACAAAATTAACAAAAAAAAAAAAAAAACTATAAAAGAAAAAACTGAGACCAGGTGCTGCAAAGACACATGGTAACTCTTCTAGAAGGACTGGGCTCCGTTCCCAGCACCCATGTCAGATGACTCACAGTCACCTACAATTCCAGATCAAGGAGACGGAAAGCTCTCTTCTGGCTTTCATCAGCAACTACATACAGAGAGACGTAACAAAAACACCCAGTTTCCTCCTGTAAGCACTGTTTCTCACCTCATGTTTGGGAGTAGAAAAATAAACCAAATACACAGTTACACTTAAAATCATGACGTCAACACCTCCTCAGGGTGCCCCACTTACTTTCTCCACTGCTTGATCTGCTCAGGACTGGAGTACTCCTTCAGACATTCTGTGATGTGGTCTCCAATCTTGATTAAGCACTGTCTAGTGTGTTCCAGTTGCTCTCTTTCTGAAAGGCCTTTCTCAGGCCTGTCAAGCTGTTTCAAAGCGGCTTTTACTGGCCTCATTCTTTCTTTACACTTGAAAGTAACAGAAATATATGTATGAAAAGCCCAATTCAGGTAAACTCTATGCATGATATTCATATGAATGAACACAGCATTGCCTAGTTTCAAATAAGCAATTTATACATCATGTCACACATTCTACACATCAGTATTTCCCTCTTTGGCTTTACTTCAGGCAAAGAATACTATCCATTATCACCTGACATTAGCCTTTGTGGAAGTCAAAGCTTTTCATTTTAAAGAACTTTGGCTACTTTGAATATTACAGCACCACTCCACGTAGTCTTCAAATCAGTGACCAGAGCACAGCACAGTCCACACCAGGATGCACACACTAAAGTAGACTGGAAGGTTAAAAAGGAGCTCCACATGATAAGCTCATTAGCAAACTAGCAAAACAAAAATAAACAAACTAGCAAAAATAAACAAGCAAGCAAAAAAATTAAAATGAATTAAGCAACTGGCATAAATCACCTACTCTCTGAAACCTTTAGGGCAGAACATTGTGGCTACAAATGACTTCTGCTACATTTCTGGGAGGCTGGAAAACAGGGGACAGTCGGCAGAAACCACTTTTCTTAAACAAATATGACATCCAAATTTTCTGACCCAGTTTTACTCAAGTAACACTACAAATAAAAGCAATAGCTTTAGATAAACTTGTGAAAATGACTGTTAAGAACGAATTTAAGTTGATGATAAGGAAATTTGTTCAGTTCTACAAATATATAGACAAGTCATTATCAGACAATACATTTAATTAATCCAGTGCTATTTCGTTAAAAAAATATCTTTCTACTCTTGTTCTGAAAGGCCACTATGAATTATCTCTTTAGTTGTCGATTTGTTCTTGAGTAATTCGTTCTGTCTTACTACCTATTGGCAGAAGTTGGTAGACAGTTCTCCATTCTTCATCAGGAATAATTTAAAATCAAATCTATGGATTACCGTGTTTTTCAACTGAATGTTGTGGAGCCGTAATTACAGCCCTGCATACATGAACAGGGAACAGGAGGGTCGGGGGCTAAAGGCATCCTGAGCTACACAAATGTTCAAGGCCAGCCTGGTAGAGGCACACAGCCCTCATTTATGAAGAAAGGTCTGCAGCTCAGCAGAATGCAGGTCTAGAATGCATGAGGAATTGAGCTAGAGCAGCAGCAGAGTCTAAGCCTGGGTATGGTGGTCTCTGCCTACACTCTAAGAACTCAAGAGGCAGAGTCAGGAGGATCAGACGTTCTAAATAGTCCTTGGCTATATTTGAGGCCAGCCTGAGCTGTCATGTATGAGATACTTTCAAATAAAAAAAAAGAAAAGAAAAACAGAAAGAAAAAAAAGAAAAAATAAATAAAAGAAAAGACCACCACACTGGACAGAAGGAGGTCTGTGACTATGAGGGAACCTCCAATCCTTTCCCATTTTAGTTTTATTCATAGCTGCTCTCTGCCAACTATTAGTTTCACAGTTTACACTACTAAAAATTTTTAAGTCAGGCAGGTATGGTGATTCAAAACTATAAGTCCAGCACTTCAGAGGCTACAGCAGGAGCTTGAGTTCAGAGTCCACCTGGGCAACAGGTGAGACCATGCCTCAAAACCAAAGTGGGGTTGACAGATGAGTCACTGGGCACTTGATCAAGACTGGTGACCTAAATTTTATTCCCAGAAACCATAGCAGAAGAACCAAGTCTCAAAAGCTATCATCTGACTTCTATATAAACTGCTGCAGGTATCAGTACCAACATTAAACTTACATACAATAAATAAAAATTTAAATTAAAAAAGATAGAACATGTATGCAGCGTATATATTGTTTTCTTAGGGTTATAACAAATCTAAAAAAATAGAGAAGTAAACAGACAGTGACTTTAGGACTATGGTAAGATAGGTGATTAGAAGTAAACAGACAGAGACTTTATGGAATCAGGACTATAGTAAGACAGGTGATTAGAAGTAAACAGACAGAGACTTTATGGAATCAGGACTATAGTAAGACAGGTGATTAGAAGCACAGTGATGTCAACTAAGATCAGGCGAAAAAAATCAAAAACACAGAACCTTCCACCTAATTAGAATTTAGAAAAAAGTGATGCTTGTGAAGACACTTAGAGTGTTTGACAGGTTTAGACAAATGCTAGCATGTCTGAACCTGTAAAAGAAGTGGAATATGATGAGAATTAACCAGACACTAAGCCTTTCACAAGTCTGAGAAAAATTTTAATCCTCAAAGAGATGGAAAGAACTCTGAAAGCTCAGCGTGCAGAGGTGACATGGTGTGACTTCACCTTTCCCACATTTGTAAATACTGTGGGTACTGTGTGGATTCCAAGATGTGAGTAGTTGTGACTTAGTAATGTAGTAGTTATGACTTACAGAAGTAGAGTCGACAGAATTTGCTTACTGGTAAAATCCAGTGCAAGCTCAGAAAGTTTGGCTCAAGAATATATGCTGAAAGTTATTGCATCCTTTTTCTCTAGAATGTACAAAAGAACAAAGAAGAAATCCATGCATTGGGCACAGTAGGAAGCTTTCTACTTTAACAATGACAGGAAACTCAGAAGATAAGAGGGCGTGAAAAAAGTTAGACGTGGTGTCTCCTTACTCAGAGAGAAGCACTAGGACAGGGCAGAAGTTCAAGAGCGGTGGGAACTCCTTCAGCCTATGCCTTTAGATACCGGCCGGTTCTGGGCGTGGTCTGAAGTACTGCAAGTGCAAGGATTCAATACCCAGCTTCCAGCACCTACAGGACTGTGGATCTCTACCCTTACTGTGAGTTTTATCCCCAAATAAACCTTTGTTATACTCCATTCTGGGCTATTGTGGACCTCTTTAATACACCTATATTTAAATGAAGAATTTAATGTTTTCACCACAAAACACAACACATGATTTCTACATCTGCCACTGTCATCCAAGGCAGAATAGTTAAAAGCAATCAATAAGAAAATGAACAAGGAAGTTAGATCTAGGTCATAAACAAAAAAGTTATCCTGAAAAAGAAGAAAATGAATCCCAGAGTTCATAAACCCAAAGAAGAAACACAGTCCAGACATATCACATATGCTTAAGAAAATGGAAGCCCATAGAAACTAGTACAAACCATTATATTTAAAACAATGTGGAAAAAAATGATTGAACCTTTATTAGAACACATCTCAGGATCAGATAATGAATAAGTTCTTATTGTTTCATACTCTTGAGTCTAAATACACGAGAATAGGGACAAAAGCAAGAGCTGGACACTTGGGTGACACAGATATTAACCACGACCCTGTGAACCCCATTTCTGAAGTGGAGCCCCTCTCTCAAGCACTGCAGTTGATTAGCACTGACAAAATGACTTATGACTAAATTCAAGTCTAATGAACTAATGGCTCCAACTAAGAAAACATCCAGGTTCTAGAAATCTTTGACGAGATTTAACAAGGTATGCATTCGTACAGTAAAACCACGCCTGTATTTGTACTAGCTACTTCTTGGCAGCCTGGAACAACACATTTTCTACTCTTAGGTTAAACTTTGTAAATTTCACACCTTCCTATATCAATATAGTGGTTTCTCTGTTCCTTCATCTTGATTTCCTTTATAAGTGGACTTTAAGTCTTATCTATATTAATTTTTTTTAGCTGATTTACACTAAGGTTGGATTTAGTAGGAACAACCGTAGCACACTAGCACTCGAATACTGTAAGCACTGGATCAGAAACTAAAGGATAAAATCCTCAATATAAAAGTTGCCTGAGTTTTTCTTAAACCCCTCTACTTCAGGTTTTATTGAAGACTGAATAGTAGCAATTAGACACTCTGGAGCTTACGATGCTGAATGTCTTCTGGTCCAGCTCTTCAGACTCCTCAGCTATGGGAACAGGCTCTCCACTTGCAGTGATATGAACTGGAGCGTCTGACACCACAGACTTTTTAGACCGGTCTTTACTTTCAGGCTTAGATTCATTCAACTAGAAAAAGAGAAAACAAAAGCCCAACCATAAAGACAAAGTGATTAGCTCTTCTACAACAATTACTCCTATTTTCTTCTACAAGTACTTATTTTCAGTCAACAGTTATCTTCCAACTTCATCCAGAGATCTCTCTCAGCCCTTGAACATGGCCCACTTTTACTACTGCTAGGTTTGTTAATACAATTTCATTGCTAATTTGCTAAGCAACAAAGAATAAAGTCTCCTTTGTAATGTTATCTTCTAAAGAAGGCATTAAAAAGTGCTTAAACCAATTCCTCCCCTCAACTATATGCCCACATAAACTCCTGTAGAACAGTTGCTGAAACTGGTTTGGACTGATGCTCTTATCTTGTATATGGGTTCTGAAAATTTTAACTGAGAATCCCTTTACTAATGATACATGCAATATTTACTTACTTCTAAAGAAAGCCAGTCTCGTTCATGTTAATAATAAAATTAAAAGAGAAGGCTCATTTAATTGGCAAGGGTTTGAAAGGACAGACCTTTGATCCCAGACATGTCTCTATCACACACCGATGATCTATAATAAGCTATATTATAAACCACCAGAATTCCCTCTCTACAGCTTAACTTCCCTTCCACACTGAGCGCAGCTGTCACCTACTTTATCGTCATCTTCGTCAGACTTCTCTGACGGCAGGGGAGACGAGTCACTCTTTATTTCTTCTTTGATTTTTATGGACTTCATTGCTTTATTCTTTTTAGTTCTTGTTTTTCTCCTCTTTGAACCTCCCTAAAAGTAATTATTCATATTTAATCACAGTCACTGATTTCCCATTTTAAAAATATCACAAACACTCATCTGAAACTTGGACACGTATCTTGAGTTTGTTGGTGATGGGCTGCACCAAGTTTAGAGTCAATAGAGGAAACACAACTTACTACATCAAATATGTCAATGTCAAAGTTACTAACCACTGTAATTGTTCCTTGAAAGAGAGAGACGTGAAGTTTTCCCTGTCAGATATCACCTATAACTAAATGTAGTGACATTTCATTTGTATTCTAATAAATGAAGTTTGCCTGAAGATCAGAAAATTAAAACAGCCACACTGGCCAGTCTCACAGACCATGCAGCAACGACACACACCTTTGATCCCAGTAGCCACACTAGTTTGCCACAATCACAGAATTAGAGAGGATTATAAAACGGGAGGAGACCACCCTCAGGCTCAGTCTCATTTTGAGGTTCCCTGGAGGCAGAATCCCCATTTTCTTCGGACTGAGGTTGAGGTTAAGAGCCAGTGGTTAGCTTGTTGTTTTGCTTTTCCATTCTTAAGGGTGAACCCCAATATCCGACAGAACCCACATGGGAGCTTCCAACCATGCATTATCTCCAGTTTCAAGAATCTGATGCCCTCCTCTGTACTCCAAGTGTACCAGGCAACACACACAGTACACAGACACACACACACACAAAATATTCATACACATACAATGAAAATAAATTATAAAGTCTTTTTAAATATCTTTTTTGAAGTGCCTCATAACGCCCACAACTCTTGACACTGTCCATTAAACTTTAAATATTTTGAAATACGATCTAAGCTGGGCCTCTCCAAAAGCATTCACTCTACTGTCATAACCAAATAAAACTACTATATTAAAGAACCAAGTCGTTCCTACTGTAACCATGACAACCAGCATGGTCAAATACCGAGGAGAGTAGACTGGTTTCAGACATGCACAGGTCTAACTTACTGCACCACTAAGTCTCTGCGCTTCTTTCTTTGCAAGGTCTCGGCTGAGCAACTTGATGAGGTAGTCTGCACGTGTCTGTAATTGTTTAGCTTGTGGTTTTTTATCAGGATCATCTGGAAGAATCTGAAAAAGAAAAGCATTTTTCAGGTTGTCTTTCATAAATAATGAAAAATTTGCTGGTGAAAACCTACAATTTAGGGTGGTGGTGGCTCTGAGGGCAACCTGGCCTACAAGAGCTAGTTCCAGGACAGGCTCCAGAGCAACAGAGAAACCCTGTCTCGAAAAAAACGAAACAAAACAAAAAAACTACAATTTAATAAAAATGCATATAGCTCACACACTAAAGCTTTAAACATTCACAATATTGTTAGAATAGGTTGTATAGTAGACTACAAGAACAGCAAGTTGAGTATTAGAAACAGTATTGTTCACGGACAGCTACAGAATACAGGTTTTACACTTGTTATCATATACAGAGATTTAATTTTCTTGCAAGCAAATTTATTCTTCTCTCATTCTCTCCTGGTTGTTGCTTGTTTTCCAAGACAAGAGTTTTTCTAGGTAGCCCTGGCTGTCCTGGAACTCACTCTGTAGACCAAACTGGCCTCAAACTCAGAGATCTGCCTGCCTCTGACTCCCAAGTGCTGGGATTATAGGTGTGTACCACCAATGCCTGGCCAATTCTTCCCTTCTTTATTGAGATCCAGCCTTACTATCTAGCCTTTACTGGCCTCAAACTTGTAGCAGTTCTCTTATCTCTAAGCACTAAGATTACCAGTGTTCACCACCATGTCTCTCTCTTGGGAATAAATCCTATGTAAGTATACCTAAAAAGAAACCTCTCAATTTAGCCTGAAATCCCAGCATTCAGGAAAAAGATGAATACAAGTTTACAGCCAACCTGGCTGAACAGGCTAGTAAGACCTTGTGTCAAAACACACATGCAGATACACAGCCTCAAACACACACACACAGGCTCCAAACAAATAAACCAAAGCAACAAAACTTCTCATGCTCCAAACACAAGGTGTGAGGTGTGACCATTTAGTCTAACCTAACAAGCAAACTTTTAGAACAATGAAAAGCCTGTTTTGAAGGAGACAGATGGACTTCCTGAGGATGACATCTAGGCTGCCTCTAGTCAACAAAAATGCACACATGCTCCCACAAACAAACAAACTACGCTAGAAATTGAGAGCACAGAGAAATGCTTCGAACATCTCCATTATATGAAGAGAAAAAAGAAACAAGAAGGTGTCATGACACAACAAAATCACACAAATTTCTAAAATTAGTTGATATTTTCTGAAAATATGTGATTTTCCAGGACATGATGATCCTAAAATTCAAGGGGCCATGACAGGAGAGTCAGAGACCTAACACGGTGAG